AGCCATGGCTGATGAGGTTGTTACCAGTGATTGGTCAGGAAGATATTCACGGCTGGGAAGATATTAAAAGATACCACATCCAACCAACTCCTTTGTAGAAGGGTTATTACTCTGGGACGGCAAAGAAGAGAAGCTAAGTGGCTTCTCCACTGATGACCCCTAACCCAATTTTCTTTCAGGCCATGGTGGCCTGGTGATGCAGATAAAGGCAATTCCTGGAGGCCACAAGCAGGGGTTCATAACAAAGGAAACCCAAGGGGCCCCTGGGTGGCTCAGTTAAGCGTCCATTTCTTCATTTCAGCTCAGGTCATGAGCTCACGGTTCATGAGATCAAGCCCTGTGTCGGGCCCTGCATGGACAGTACAGTGAATGGAGCCTGGTTGGGATATTCTCTCTCTCTCTCTCTCTCTCTCTGTCCCTCCCCTGCTCACACACATGCTCTAAATAAATAAATAAGCTTTAAAAAAACAACAACAAAAGAAACCTAAGGATCTATGGATCTATCCTTCCCGAGGTCGAAAAGATACCAGAGGCCAGTGGAGCGTATCAACCTCAGGTGCTGAGGCCATCAACAACTTCCCATTTTTCCCCAGGATCAGGGTCACTGTGGCCATGAAACTCACAGAGGCAGGCGTGCTAGGCCTGTGTGGATGGCGCCTGAACACAGAGCCTGCCAGAGAAAGCCAGCTAGAAGGCTTAGATGCTTCTACTGAATCCTGAACTAATATCCAGTCGAGAAGAGGGTGTGTGAGGAACGAATCTAGTACTAAAAAAAGGGCTAAGGTACAGGTCCTGAAGGGGCGCGGGGGTATCGTCAGAAGCTTACAAATTTGATTCTTTGGCTTATACCTATAGCAGGGAGCAGAGGAGCAGTGCCCACTGAGGGAACTCCTTTACTGCATACGCGGGCTGGTCTCAAATAGCACTGCCCCCCTCCTCCGCGAGCTCCTCAGCACAAGTCCTTCCCTTCCACTCAAGGCAGATGCAGCTGTGGGTTGGCTAATGAATGGATGCATGCTGTCACCAAAGAGCTAGCCAAACTCAATCCTTGAGAGACACTAATCTTGGTAGTGGGATCCCATAAACGTGGGTTTATGAGCAGAGGAAGCCCTAATCCAGACCCTCCTCAACTCTCCTTCAACACTCTCCCTAGGAAGTAAAATAGGAAGTCAACAGTCCTTGGCCTCCAGGACAAATGTGGCACCTGGGATGCTTCATAAAGAACAGCAAAGCACCCAACTAATAGATCCAATGCTCTAATATAGATGGAAAAGGGGTCAGGGAAAGTTAAAAGGCTTCACATGGTAGCTTAAAAAACAAAACAAGGGGCGCCTGGGTGGCGCAGTCGGTTAAGCGTCCGACTTCAGCCAGGTCACGATCTCGCGGTCCGTGAGTTCGAGCCCCGCGTCGGGCTCTGGGCCGATGGCTCAGAGCCTGGAGCCTGTTTCCGATTCTGTGTCTCCCTCTCTCTCTGCCCCTCCCCCGTTCATGCTCTGTCTCTCTCTGTCCCAAAAATAAATTAAAAAAAAACGTTGAAGAAAAAGGAAGAAAAGAAAAAAAAAAATGAAGAAAAAACAAAACAAAACACCCAAAAAACTACCAGGCTCCAAAAGATCCAAGAAGACTGCAAATATTCCCAATCACATCCATCACCTTCACAGAGCCAACCTCCCTTCCCCAACTCACCACTAACCTTTGTGGCCTCATCTGAAGTTACAGACATGTGTATTTCTAAAATATACCACACAATACAAAAAACTACACAGTTTATGGGGGGAAAATGAAATTAAGGGTACAACTAAAAAAGCTTTGTCAATGTCACATGCACACAAAAGTTAAGAACCTAACAAAAACGGTAGCACAGCTGTACACGTTAAATGGGAAATGCACAGATACAGCTATGGTACTTTACAAGGTTTGCAGTGAGTTACTGGGAAGTAGGGCAAAATTTTTTAAACGTGAGATGTGCAAGGGTGTGGCTCATAACACAGTCACTGAGAAAGATGTTTGAGGAGAGTGTACTATCTTCAGGCTGCGTGACTTGGTTCAGCTCAGTTCAATTTTCTGTGTTCATCTAGTATCTCTCACAGGTGAAATTATGCACATCAACTCGAATCCCGTAACGTTCAGACTGGTCCCCGAGATTTCAATCCTGTTGGATGGAACTAATCACGCTTCCAAACAAGTGTTCAAAGCACAAGTGGCTGTACTTGGCTCGTACCCAGGCTGTCAGTCACCTGCCGCAGGCTCTTCCGTACAGCAGGACCATGTGATCCATGCTCGTGGTCCTAATCTAACCGCTTCTTCTCCTGCACTCGACATGCTCAATCTGATTCCAAGTCCGATACTCACTGTCCCCTTCTCTTACCATAAACATGCTGATGAAATAAACTGTGACTTTCTTCCACTGAAATAAACTATCAAGCTCACTACATGCCTGAGAGAGAATGCCTTTGAGGTGAAAAGAGGCTGAATTTCTGAGATGGCGGAAATGGAGTCTTACACTGCAAGTAAAAATATATCAGCAGGGGCGTCTAAGTGGCTCAGTAGACTAAGTGTCTGACTTCGGCTCAGGTTATGGTTTCATGGTTTATGGGTTCCAGCCCCATGTTAGCTCTGTGCTGACAGCTCAGAGCCTGGAGCCTGCTTTAGATTCTGTGTCTCCCTCTCTCTGCCTCCCCCTGCCCCTGCTCACACTCTCTCTCAACCATAAATAAACATTAAAAAAAAAATTTTTTTTTAAATATAGTCACCATCGGGAAACAAAGACTCAAAAACACACCACCATCATGGGAAAAAAGGAAAGAACATCTCTACAAACATAATGGCTAGAAAAGGATCTCAGGTTCATGGGTTCGAGCCTCATGTTGGGTGTACAAATCACTAAAAAAAAAAAACATAATTAAAAAAATAAACATACTCCAGGGAAACCTCAGGCTCACAATTTCTCTTTTACGCAAGGAAGCTACTGATAATACTTATTTTGAAACACTTTTAGGCTTTACCTATCCTGCGTGGTACAGTATGAATAATAAACTTAACAGTTCTTATTTATGCCAAAACCTTTCCAAAGGAAATTCTGTAGTAGCATTCTCCCACCTAACCTCACGTGTTTTCTCATCGCACTTGAACTCTGACCTTGGGATGCAGCAGTATCTGTGCTCCGGGCCTTCCTTCTCAGAGAGGAAACCTTAAAATGCTTTGCTCTACAATTCCCAAAGCCCTGCTGAGAAACAAGCTGTTTAGGAAAGATAAGTTAGAAGAACATACATGTGAATTATATCTTAATAATAAACAGGAGTCAGCCCCATTATATCTACAGAAGCAACCTTATCCTTCAAAGAGTCCTAATCTGAGGACAGTAAAAGATGGGGGTAAATCATTTCAAAATTACACATTGACAACATATGCACAAAGAACTCACAAAGTCATTTTTATACAGCATAAAAGCCAATCACCTTGTGTATGTATTTGCACTGAGTAGCACCTCAAATCTTTTCCAGAAATTGGTGGGAGTATAAACTACTGGACATGAGCTTTGCAACAGCTTTTTAGGTAAAGAGCCAGTGAAGAATTGCCACAACTGGCAATCCTGGGCACCAAGCTTGGTTCCCAGTCCCTACCCTGGTCCAAGCAAGCTACCCTTCTCTCTTCCTGGCTGGTCCAGAGGCCAGTAGTCTCACCGCCCTTTCTAAGCCATCCTTCTCACAGCACAGTGATTCTTCTAAAATGCAAATATAGCCATATTACTTCCCTGCTTAGGACTTAATTTATTAATTTTTCCCACTTGGTCTTAACATAAATTCTGAATTCCTTAACTTGGGGCACACCAAAAACAAACCTTTTGCGAGCCGGTTCCTGCTTCTATCTCCAGTCCCGTCTCTCGTACAATCTGTATTTCCACCTCAGAGAATTCCTCTCATTCCCTCAAGGGGCTGTACCCCCGAGCAGAAAGCCTGGCACACAGGAGACCTCAAAGGTGTGCTTAGAATTTTAAAGTACACATTCTCAAACGGGGTGAAAAAACTCACTCTTTCTATGTAAAGCATAAGATATACATACGGTACATAAAAAGACGTATGCTATATAAAAAGCATTAACATTTCGTGGAGATCAATTCGGAAAACAATATATAAAAGGGGGGAGTTCACTGTAAAAAAAAGATTGATAAACACCGCATTAAAGTAAGATTTTTAAATCTGATTTGGAAACTCAAGTTCAGGCAATGCAAAAACCAGCAACACATCTTTCTACTTGAATGTTCCCATTTCACCTCAAGCTCGTAGATAAAACTGAACCCACTACGCCTCCCCACCCATTAAAAAAACACACCCCCCAAAAACCAAAACGATTCCCTTCAGCGTCTCTGTCCGTCATTACCGTGGTCCCCAAACTCCTAGTCACTGAACTCAAAGGCCAGTCCTGCAGCCAGGAAAACGAGGTTCCAGACCAGCTCTGCCGTCAACTAGTTCGCCGACTGTACGACCTTGGGCAGACCGCCTCAGCCTCCCCAACACTTGGGCAGCCGAAGCAGAGTGCAGGGCTGCAGAGCTGAGACCCTACATCGGGCTGCGAGAACTTGAAGCGGAACGAAGGCACGACTGTGAATGTAGAGGGGGACGGACCAGAGTAAGACAAAAGCCAAAACCTCCCCCAAACGACTACTGCGGTGAAGTCCAGGCTTCTCCCCGGACGGGTCAAAGGGTGGAAAGCGGAGTGCAGGGAGTACCGCGTTTCGGGTCTCAAGCCTCACCGCGACCCGGATTACTCTCCAGGCCCCCGGGCCACCAGCGCGCCGGGGATGCGGGTGGGGGTGCAGGCGCCCGAGGGGCGGGGCCGGCCGCCGGCTTCAGCACACGAGCGGTCCCCAGCGACCGGAAGCTGAGGACCCACGGAGCTCAGCCCCAGGTGGGCGCTCCCAAGACCAGCCCCCGCCGCCCCCAGCCCCACGAGGCCGAGCAGGCTGCGCCACGCGGCCCGGGAGGACTGGCAGGCCCACGATGGCGGGGCGGCGGCGCGAGCACACAAAGGAGGCGGCGTCAGCGGGGAACAAAAAGCTGGCCGGGGCCTCCCCTGAACGGCCCTTGCCGCCCTGTCCGCCTCCCCGAGTGACCTTGGGCGCGTCCGCCCCCCACCCCAGCCTCGGTTTCTCCAGCTGCGCTACAACTAAACGCTGGGACCGCAGCCCGCCGGGGCGGCGGAGGCCCTCAGCGAGGCGTTCGTACGTCCGTCGCCTGCGCCGCGCCGGGCTCACGCAGCCACGCGGACAGCTGGGCGGGCTCGCGGGCTCGGGGGAGGCCCGGCCGGGCGTCCGGCCCGAGGGGGGTTGGCTGCGCTCCGGAGGGCCGCCGCGCCGAGGCCTCTGCAGGCCGCGAAGCCGTCCGAACCCCACACCCGCCCGGCTCTGGCTGGCCGCCCCCTCTCCGTGAAGCCAGGCTTACCTGGAGCCGGTCTGGCCCGGCAGCAGCCAACGCCGACGCAGTCCAGCGAAGAAGCACCTCCGGAAACCACGGAGGAGAAACCCTCCAGCAAGACGCCGCCGCCTCAGCAGCGATCCACTTCCGCTCCGGAGGCCTCGGCTCCACCCCCGGGGCGTCCCCATTGGCCGCCGCTCCTCGTACTCCCGTGGTCTACCGGTGCAGGAGGTATGTTTTCAATTCTATTGGATAAGAAAACCATCTATTACCGCTTTGAAAAGCGCTTCTTTCCGGCTCCGCCCGCGCTCGCGAGCTCAAGCTCCCGCCTTCCCGCGAGAGAGGCGATCTGCGCCCCCTCGGTGCGCAAGGCCTCTCGGGAGTTGTGGTTTGCAGAGCGGCGGCCAGTTCCGGGCCCTCTGATACGGGGCGGATGCGGCCGGCGGACGGAGCGGAGCTGGGCGTTATTCCAGAACAGCCGGCCCGCGGCCCGCGTACGGGGCCCACTCCCACCCCGCTTCGGGCCTCAGTTCTCTCTCCTGTGAACGCTCCCGAGCTCTCTACTATTGGCCCAAACCCGGGCCTGAATCTGCAGGAACTCCAGGGCCCTCGCGACCCGACGTGCCAGGTCGTGGGCCAGCGTCTGGTCCCAGTGTTCCCGGACTGTTTACTAGGCTGGCAGTGAAAACTGGAAGGAAGCACAGCCTGGCCCCTTTGCGGGAACCCGGAGGAGGCACTCAACCAGGACGTCTGGGAGGGCCCCCTGGAGGAAGCGACCTCGGAGTTGGGAACTGAAAGGACTAGAAGGAAGGAGAGAGTTCTCAGAAGAGGTAGCCTGGGTGGGGAGAGAGAGGCTGGCATGTCGAGGAGACTGCAGGCTACCCTTTGTGCGAGGAGCAGAGGTGGGGAGTCGGGGGTGGGGGGGCGGGGAGGCAAGAGTCAGACTGTGGAGGACCCAGATGCCAGGTTGAGTCTGGATTATCCCGAGGGCAATGGGTGCGAGGAAAGGAAGGACTGCACCCCCAGAGGAGCACTCTGGCCCACAAAGGGGCCAGGGCCCAGGCAGAGGCCTGGAGCTCCCCCCCGGGGCGTCTGGTGCAACTCGGGGGGGTTAAGAATACAGGCTCTGGACCCTTACTGCCCGAGTGTGAGTTTGAATGCTCCGTTGTTTTAAGCACGTTTCAGTCCTCTCACCTGTTATACGGGAATAGTCACTGCACAGTATCTGCCTCACAGGAAGAAGGTGGACAGTTGAAGGGCTCCACACAGACCAGCACAGGTGCATGCCAGGCCCTGAGAGGGGCTGCAGATCAGAACCCGGAGTGAAAAGCCGGTGGTGGATTCCTTGACTTCAGCTTCCAGAACTGCACTTGGACATGGATTTGGCAATAGAAAGCCTAGCTTGTCCCTCCTGTTCTGAGAGTACCCAGATCAGATCACGGCCATCACGGGTGGTCCCTGGACACCCTCAGGCAATGAGGATGTCACTCCAAAAGCCTGGGATGGACAGTTTAGTAGGAGGGGGTCTTCTCCCCGGAAGATTGAGTCATGTATGGAAATTAAGCAGATCAAAGCCAGAGCATTAATGGTTTTGTGTTGAGTTTACAAACAATCTCTGTTGTTTGATACTCATGTCATTGTAAAGGAATTTGGTATGGTAGGGTATCCAATAACGTCTGATTCTGTGTGAAACATGTTGAGTTTGAAACATACTGATTTTGATAGTGATTCTAAGTTGGAAGGTACAAGACTTTAGTTTGTGATCATAATTGGAATAGTAAAGGAAATTTAAAAATTTAAGATAAATGAGACCTTAATGTATCTTTAGGAATTTTTATACTTCTTTAATGTTTTTACTATTTATTTTTGAGAGCACCCACACGAGTGGGGGAGGGGCAGTGAGAGAGGGGGGCAGAGGATCCAAAGCAGTCTCTGTACTGTCTGCACGGAGGCTGATGTGGTGCTCCAACAACGAACCGTGAGATCATGACCTGAGCTGAAGTTGGACGCTTAACCAACTGAGCCACCCAGGCGCCCCAGACTTTTTAAATACTTGATAAGGCAGACAACGGAAATGATAAAAAAAGAAGTTTAGATTCTGCATGTTAAAATGTAATTTAAAATGTTAAAGGAGTGGAACCAACCATACACAGCTAATCAAAATGATAGTTATAGATTTATAGATAAGATTAGTAACTTGAATTTCACAGCCTAAAGAATTGCTAGGGTTTTCTATTTGTAACTTTAATACATCAGGTAGTGTGATGCTGGGAGCATCTGGCTGGCTCAGTTGTAGAACATGTGACTCTTGATCTCAGGGCGATGAGTTTGAACCCCACACTGAACGTGGAGCCTACTTAAAAGAATAAAAAAAGTTGGGGCGCCTCGCTGACTCAGTTGGTTAAACATCTTGACTCTTTAAATTTTTATTATGTTTTACTTTAGAGAGAAAGAGAGTGCAATTGGGGAAGAGGGGCAGAGGGAGAGAGCAAGAATCTTAAGCAGGCTTTCAGTGTGGAGCCTGATATAGAGCTTGATCCCACTACCCTGGGATCATGACCCAAGCCAAAATCAAGTTAGACACTCAATCGACTGAACCATCAAGAGTCTGACTCTTGATCTCAGTTCACGTCTTGATCTCAGGGTCATCAGTTCAAGCCCGGCGTTTGGCTGCACGCTGGGTGCAGAGCCTACCTAAAAAAAAAAAATCGAAACAAAATTTGAAGTTAGTGAAAAATAAACGATGTGATATTGAAAAACAAAGTTACAACAAATATCACTTTTCATGCTCAGGAGCTGCTTTCAAGTTCCCTGCAAACATCACTTGGCACTGAACTTGTGGTGTGGACATCCCTGGCTCCCTCACAGATAATGCCTGTGGCCCTGAATATTTCTAGCTTAGAGAAGAGACTGGGACCTTATTGTTTCCAAGTGCCACACAGCTAAATGTAGATTCCTGGGCATCAGACCAGCCAAATCCCCGTGGATGAGGTCTGAGAATCTGCTCGTTAACTATCTCAAAAGAACCCCAGCCCAAGTGAGTTTCAGGTACTGTCAGTGAGGGTCTTCTGGCTGTACTTGTGCAGAAATTACACTGAAGCAGGATGTGAATTCCCTGGGTGGTCCAGAGAGTGCTTTCTCAGCATCTGCTGGACCTGATCTCTCCTGGCTGGTCCTCTTTCCAGGGGCCGTTTGGTTCTCTCTCAAAAGGGCTCACGCAGGTAGGGGAGGCCTCAGTAAATGAAGGCCATCAGCTCTGGAGGGTCGGTCAGACAGCTGTTGTTTCTGAACAAACCCCAAAGCTCAGTGCTTTGAACAAATAGGCATTTACTGTTGCCAAGGAAGCTACAAGTTAGTGGGGGCAGGGGGAGTGTTCCGGTTCTGGCTGGCCTCACATGTCGGGTTCTGCTGGTTTGCAGGACGGGCGGGGAGGGCTTCCGCTGGGACAAGTGGCTGTCCTCATATAGTGTCTCATCCCAGCAGGCCACCCCGGACATGCTCACATTGGGGCTGGGCAGGGTTCTAAGAGAACAGGAGGGAGCTCGGACGCCACAGGAGGCCCAGCCTCAAAGCTGGCACTTACAGGCCAAAGTGAGTCAGCCCAGACTCAGGTGCCGAGGGACACAGAGTGCTTCCTGATGGGAGGTCACAAGGCAAGGAACCTGGAGACTGGACACATTTTGCCATTAATCCATGACCCGAGGCCTGCCCTCAGGCTACAAACTCGGGATGGCCCAAGGCCTGTTTCCACCTGGGTTTGCATGGGGCAGGAGTCCCATGTACCCTCAAGGCAGCTCTGAGCTGCTGCCTGGTCCCAGAGGGCAGGTAAGGACCTTGGTGTGGACTGCCAACCAGCATCGCTGCCAGCAGCACCACAAATGTGTTGGGCTAGTACCTCTTCCCTCTGCTCCAGGAATCCATCTGAGAGGTGTGAAGGGCTATCCTCCCCTCCTGCCACGGAGCCTGCTCTGGGCACCCATATGGACCTTCTGCCACCCTGGGATCTGGGTCGGCAGAGCATGTTCGATTCAGGCCAGTGAGACTGGAGCAGATGTTCGCACAAGGCTTCAAGGACAGAGAACCCTCCTGAGCTGGCTACCAGGGAGAGATGACCCTTCTTCCTCTGGATGTTGTGAGGCTGGAGCCGCTCCCAGCCTGGAGACAGAACTCCTGCATCAGGCACATCCTGAAGGCCACCCTACCTGTGGACTGCCAGATGAGACCTAATAATTAATTCATCCTTTGAAACTCTCGGAGCTCCTGAGGGACTCTCTGGACAGGTCGTAGAAATGGGTTTGAATAACACATCACACAGGATAGGAGAAATGTTGTGTTTATCTCTTTAAATGAAATTTATTCTGCCCCTCAGCTTTTTAAAAAAAAGTTTTTTTTAATCTTTATTTATTTTTGAGAGAGAGACAGAGTGTGAGCAGGGGAGGAGCAGAGAGGAAGACACAGAAACCAAAGCAGGCTCCAGGCCCCGAGCTGTCAGCACAGAGCCCGACCCGGGGCTCGAACTCACCAACAGTGAGATTGTGACCTGAGCTGAAGTCGAACGCTCAACCGACTGAGCCACCCAGGCGCCCCCACCCCTCAGCTTTTTTTGACAGGGAGGTGGGAAATTTCTCTTTACCAACATGGGAAAGAAAGTCCTGGGGTTCTGATAGTCAGAATATTCAGGGAGAACTCTGGTGTCTGTCCTTGTCACTTCAGTGTGCCCATCCTCCTGGTCTGAATGTGTGCTGGGGTCCAGGAGGATGTCAGGTTTGAGGAGATCTCTCTCTTGGACATCTATCTACCTGGCTGTTTCCAGCCCCTCCCTGACCCCCCCCCCCCCCCCCCCCCCCCCATTCTCTGTCCTTCCTGGGAGCTGCAGCACATTGTGCTTTTTTCATGATTCTGCATTTCACCAGCAGGCTGTCACTCGGCCAGCCTGTCCTCAAGGCCATGCCCTCTCCAGTCTGGCACTGGATCCAGAGGAACCAAGAGAATGGATGTGTCCTGGTGTGGGCGGATGTCAGTGGCTCTAATCACCACGTCCCCTTGGTGATGCTGGAGAAGGCTGGGTGGTGCTCTAAAGTCACACAGACTTAGCTGTGGGTCAAGGCTTTTGGGGCTGGTTACTTGACCTCTTCGAGCACTGCTGGCCTCATCAGCAGAATGGGAGGTAGGGGACAGTTCCTGCATCCCCGTGGGTCCCCTCCCCCCAAGGCGGCAATGAGGTTTGCTTGAGACAAATTATGAGACAGGCCATTTCCCAGTGGCTCAAGCATTCCAGCCACTTCTCCAACCAAATGCACACGTGCAACCACACAAGTTAAGCCACCGGACTCCAGGCAGAGTGGGAATTCCAAGTTTTCACTTGCAGAGGTGGCTCTGGGAGCTCCACAAAGGGGAGGGGCTTGCCCTGGGATCTAAGGCAAGGGTGGTCAGATCTAGCACAGAAAATACAGGACAGCCAGATAAATTTGAATTGCAGATAAAGAACGGATACTTTGAGAGTTTGTCCTACGCAATAACTGGGCGTCTTGCATTTTATCTGGCAACCCTGGTCTGGGGCAAGCGGACTCCGGGGCAGGTCAGGGCGCGGAGCAGGAAGAAGGCGTGGAGGGGGCGCGCGACACAGGAAGAGGAGGCGCACACCGCCGGCCGCACGCTTTATTCGGGCGGGATTCGCGGGGCTCCTGGGGGCGCGCCCTCCCGGGCTCAGGCGGCCTCCAGGCGGCGCGCGTGCCCGCAGACCGAGCCGCTCCGCTGCAGCGCCCGCAGCCGGCGCTCCCGGCTCTGCTCCAGCTCCAGCCAGTGCTGCGCCTCCAGCTGCGCCTGCGGGCGGGCGCCCAGGGCTGTCTGCGCGGGCCGGGGCCGCCGCCCACCGATCCGCCCTCCCCCCACGCCCCCGCCCGCGCGTCGCCAAGCCCCTCCCCGACCCGGGACGCCGCGCCCCCAGCCTCCCCGCCCGCTCCCGGGACTCACCCGTGGCTTGCGATGCGCGGCCCGCGGCGCCGGTACCCGCAGCAGGGCCGCCTGCCGGCGGCGCTCGGCCGCCTTCTCCTCGACCTTGCGCTGCAGCTCGAGCACGCGCTCGTCCTGGGAGGGCGCCGCCGGGGCCGCGGACCGAGCTTTCCTCTCCTCCCACCTGGGCGGTGGACAGGGCGGGCTTAGGAGGGGTCCCGACCACAGGTCAATGGGGGTGTTTTAGGTGCAGAGGGGAGAGGCTCTCCAAGGACCTCTGGGGTGACGTCCCCCCAGCGCCTCTACCTTGCCCTTTGTACTTGACGTTTCAAAAATGTATCTCATGTATATTGGCTACGTAGGTATTTGGAGCAAAAAAGTGAAAACCCTCTTTTATCTTGTGCCTCCTTGCCACTCTCTTGCCTAGAGGTAGCCGCTAATATCTTTGCAGATCTCTATCATACTAGGTCATTCTTCCTTCCAAAATGAGACCTCATTATACAGATTGTTCCCCTTTGGCTTTGGTTTAGGGGCACTTCACAGCATCAGGGCATGTGGAGGTGCTGTTCACATGCTCGGCCACCATCCCTGCTTGGCTGGCTCCAGTCAGACTGTGCACTAAAATGGTCCTGGTGGATTCATGCCAGGAGGTCTGGCTACACGCAGAGAGCTCCAGGAGCTTTGTTAGTGGGTTTGGACCCTTGGAGGCTCCCCAACGCCAACCAGACTGTGTGTGTGGTCTATCAGGCTGAGTCTAGCAGCTGGAAGTGGTGAGACGTCCCCGGCACATGACACCTTAGGGACCTGCTGAGTGGCCAGCCAGCTGTAGCTGGGCAGCCCCTACCCTACAGCTGTCACAGGACCTCCTCAAATTGTAACCAGAGCAGCAGTCACTCAGGATCGATAGTGACGGATTTTTTTTTATTTTTTATTTTAAGAGAAAGAGAGTGCTTGAGCCATGGAGAGGGGCAGAGGGAGGGAGAGAGAGAGAGAGAGAGAGAGAGAGAGAGAAAGAATCCCAAACAGGCTGCATGCTCAGCCTAGAACCTGATACGGGGCTCGATCCCAACCCCCAGGGATCACAACACGAACCAAAATCAAGTCAGACACTCAATTGAGTGAGCCACCCAGGCACCCCAATAGTGATGAGTTTTGTGACTGTCGACTGTATCGACTCTTGGGTTTAGCTCTGGTCAATGATCTCACAGTTTGTGAGTCTGAGCCCCACGTCAGGCGCTGCTTGGGATTCTCTCTCCCCTCTCTGCCTCCAACTCACTCGCACGCATGCATGCACACACTCTCTCTCTCAAAATAAACTTTTAAAAAATTTTAAAAAGTTATAGTGAACAGCCTTGGGATGCTAGAGAAACATGAATACGGACAGGATGTTGAGATGATGTTAATTTTCTAGTTGTGTCAGTATGCTGTGGTTATGCAGGACAATATTTTTTTTCAGAAGATGCACACCGGAGTGTTTAGGAGTGAAGTGTCTGAATCCTGCAGCTCCTTCCAGATGGTTCTGCAGGGACAGAGTAAGTAGCTACCTAGATGAAACACACGGCAAAGGTCATGCTCATGAGCCACATGCCATCATTCTGCATCCAGGCCATCGTTGCATGATTTTTGCTGCCGTTTTTGTATGTCTGAAGATTAGCTAATAAGATAGTAGAGGTGGGAGAAGTTACTGCAAGGGGATGGCCTGGGCAGAAGGGTGGAACGTAGTTGTAGAACCCACCCGGGAGGTCGCAAAGGCAGGCTCGCTCCTTGCTCCTGCCTCAGTCGCCTGCCCCTTGGGGCCACTGGTACTGACCTCAAGGCTGCAGACCTCCCCATGGCCGCGCGGCACAGCGAGATCTGTTCCACCACGTTCTGCAGTTCCTGGCTTCTGGCGCGCTTGCCCTGGATGATCTGGTCTCGCTTCTCTTCCTCCTCGCGCCTCCGGGTCTCCTTGAGCAGGGCCAGCCGCTCGCGAAGCTCCACCACAGACATCTCCCCTTCCAGGCCATACCCAGGGATCTGCAGGGTGATGGGGAGGCCTGCAGCTGGGCGTCAGGCCCACACCCAGCCCGCACGGCCGCCTGCCATGCCCTGAGCTGTCCTCTGCGCCAGCGCCGGTGCCCCTCCCCCAAGTTCCATCGGTCTGGCCCCTGGGCCCGGGCGACTGCCTTTCCTGCTCAGTAGCACCTGTGCAGCATCCCTGCCATTGGGCCTCCCCAGGCTTGGCCTCCCTCCAGGGACCGCACATGTCAGCTGGGTGCCCTGTAGGCCCCTCTACTGAGGTAGGGCCCAAAAGGAACTCAGCCTTGTCTCCCTGAGTCAGGACCCGGGGGGCCGTGCAGAGTGCCCTGTGAACTTCCCACATCCCCTGGGATCAGGCCAGGCTCCCACACCAGCTCCCGGGGCCCTGCAGAGGTGCTCCCACCTCAGCAGATGCCAGCCTGGCCTCTCAGGGTGCCGCTCACACGGGGCTCCAGGCACCTGCTCTCTCCTCTCAGCCTCCACTCATCCGGCCTTTGCACACCTGCGCTCTCCCTACACTGCCCTTCCCACCTGGGCCTGCGGGGAGGGGGGGGGTCCCGGGACCTCCTTCAACATGAAGGCCACCTGGCCCACTCCCAGAAACCCTGGCCTCCTGTCCCCAGAGGTCTCCCTGACTTGACTGTGAACTCTTGGGCCGATCCCGGGCCTCTGGCAGGGCAGGTGCGGCGTCCATGGTCGAGCACGCCACTCGTGCCGGCTGGATCCGGGGTGGTGCCAGACCTCCCTTGGTCCCGGTGGGCATGCTGAACGTGGTCTCCCGTGGCCACGCCAGGCACAGCAAGACGTGGGGAGGCTTCCCCCAGTGGGGCCGGGTCCTCACCTGGGTCAGGTCCACGAGCTTGCCCTGGCGCACCGGCTGTGTCTCCAGGGCTCGCAGCTGAGAGATAAGCTCACGGCGCCGCTTCTGCTCCTCCCCCGCGGCCTCTGCGCTGCGCTGCAGCAGCTCCCGGCTCTCCTCTATCACCTCCTGGACTTGAGGGGCAAGGGGGTGCTGAGGGGCCGCAGGGTGCCCTGCCCAACCCCGGCCCTCCCTCCAGGGCACTGGGCTCTTGGCAACCGCAGCAGCTCACTTAGGGCAGGAGGCTAGCCAGGGGCGCGAGCCGGGGTCGGGGGGAGCAAAGCTGGGCGCGGCCTCGTGGTTCCTGGCCCCCCGCCCTACCTATCTGCTGCCGGCCCCTCAGGAGCTTCGTCTGTGCCACCTTCACGTTCTTCTGCACCTCCGCCACCCGCCGCACCAGCTCCTTCATGGACCTTTCCTCCTGGAGGCGCCTCTCAGCACACTGCTGCATCAGCTCCGCCGTCTGCTCACACAACCGACCCACCGTGGTCAGAGCCGCAGGGTCCCCCCTGGAGCAGGCCCATTGCCCCGGGCTGCCCCCAGCCCCAGGAGCAGCATGAGGTGACCCTGCATCACCCCGGAGCCCAGATCTGAGCTCAGCAGCTCCCGGGAGTCCCCTGGAGGTCAGGCCTACTGGGGAAGTTCCACCTCGTGTCCCCCCTTCCTCCACTGTGGTTCTGGGGAAACCAAGTCCGAGCCGCTGGGTCTGCCCTGAAGCCTCTCCCCGGCCCCCAGACTCCCCCTGAGAGAGGAGGGCGCTCAATGCTTTGAAGCCATGTGGAGCCCAGGATGTGCCAGCCTCAGGGTCCCTGTCACATGAGCCCCCAGGCACGTCCTGCTGGTCACCCCACTCTTCTTTCTCGTGCTGTTTCAAAAGGTCAGAGGTTTTTTTTTTTCTTTTCTTTTTTTTTTAAAACGTTCATGTGATCTTTATTATTAGAAGGTCAGAATCTTAAACAACAGGACAGGGTGTGGTTTTGCCGCTTTGTCACACACGACTGGAATCCTCCCCTGTGTCTGGTTGCCTCTTGCCTCTGTGGCTCTGCGCTGCGTTCATTAGCCTCGTACATGTTATCCCCTGGACTGTAGGTGGCTTATTTTTGTGGCTGTACCTTTTGGGGTATATCACAACGCTTTCATCCATTCTACTGTGGAGGGACACTCAGACTGCTTCCAGTTTGGCACTATTGTGAACGATTCGGAATCACGGTTTCAGTCCTCCAGATACTAAAACGCAGTGTGGGGTTTACGCCTTCTGTCGCTGGCCCAGGGTGGCCAGGGGCTCCGGGACCCCCAGCCCCCGGCAGTCTGTGCAGTGGGGGCTCATCTACAGCTGCACCGTCAGTGCAGAATCAGCTTGCAGGCCACCTGGACTTCAGCTTTAGACACTGGGCACCAAGTAACCCTTTGGTAAAACAATTTGCTGGCACATATCAAAAATGCCTGTCGCCCATCCTTTTTGATTTGTCCAGTTTTGCCCCAGGTTCTAAGAAAGGGAACCAGGGCTCTCAGAGAAATAGCTTATTTCAGGGCTGGGACAGAGAAACCACCAGGTGAGCCTGGTGCATCTTCTAGTGTCCTAAAGTGAGGAAGGACACAGGGCAGTCAGAGGGACGCAGGAGGTCAACCTGAAGGGGCTCCCAAAGGCCAAAGCTTGCAACGGAGTAACACTTTTGATAACACAAAGTGTAAAATAAATATGCATGGGTCCACACCGAAAGAGTTGATGGAATGAATTCAAGAAAGCGGGGGAGAAGAGAGAAGTCCCCTGTGCAGCAGAATTCCCAGTAGTCACCCCCCCCCCCGGCTGCAGGCTTTGCCTAGAGATCCCCTTCCGCACGGTGCTATGTGGAAAGGGGACACTAACTGCAGCAGAGAAAGCCAGGCACGACCTTGGCCAAGGGGTCAAGGTCAACATCACAGTGAAGAGCTGGTTGACAGCAGGTGCCCTTGACAGGCTGTGATGGTCCTCCTCCCCAAACCCCAACCCCAATCTAACCATGAGAGGAACATCGGACGCGCCCCAGCTGAGGGGCATCCAACAGGATACCTGACCCGCTCTCCTTGAAACTGTCAGGGTCACCAAAAACAAGGAAAGTCTGAGAAACTGCCACAGCCAAGAAGAGTCTGAGGCATGACCGTTAAATGTGATGTGGAGTCCGGGGACAGGAAAAGGGCCTTCATAGGGAGAAAATGTGATGAAATCTAAGCAAAGTGTGGAGTTCGAGTAAGTCACATACCAGCGTTGGCTTCTTGGCTGTGACAAATATACTGCGGTGTAGTGGGTAGCACCTCCCCCAAATTCACGTCTACCTGGAACCTCAGAATGTGATCTCACATCCAATTAAGTGAGGATCTCAGGATGCGATCATCCTGGGTTTAGAGCGGGCCCTAAGTCCAATGACAAGTGTCCATAAGAAGAGAGGGACGCAGAGAGATGCAGACGCATGGCCATGTGAGGACGGAGACAGAGTCTGGGGTGGGGCTGCCACACAAGGAGTTTCTGGGGTCTCCAGAAGCTGGAAGAGGCAAGGAAGGGTCCTCCCCAGGGAGCTTAGCAGAGAGCATGGCCCAGCTCACGCCCTCCTCGACCTTGGACCTGTGGCCTCCACAACTTGGTCAGGCTTGCGGTGCCTCCCTGTGGCGGCCCAAAGCCAGCGTGGGGAGGTAAGGCGTCACCAGCAGAGGCGGCTGGGTGGTAGGAAACGGGAACTCTCTGCACCATCTTTGCAACTTTTCTGTAACCCTTTAAACTGTTCCGAAGCAAAAAGTTTATTGTTGAAAGTACCTTCGAAAACTTGGTAATAAGTGGGAAGATACTTATGTGGAAATACAGGTGAAAAGAGGTGGGTGGCCAAAATCTGCAAGGGGTCTTATCTCAAGTGAGCTGACCAGGGGCAAAGAAAGAACAAACCATGAACCACCGCCGTGGGTGAGGAGGCCTGCCCTGCTGGGTCCCAAGGCCCCTGCCCAGCTGCACCTCGGGGACAGCATAGACACAGCTCAGGGCCAGTGGAGAAGCGGGGAGGGAGGGGAAGAGGCAGCGTCTCCTGGCTCTCCATAAATGTGCACGGAACCGGGGTGGGGGGCAGGTGTGAGGGCAGCACAGGACCAAGGAGAAGGCCTAGGCTTGCGGGGGACACACTGCACTGTGAATGCCATCTGCCCAGACCAGCTCTGCCACCTCAGGCCTTGCCAGCGTCTTTGTGGTACCCACCTCCTCAGCATCCCCCACACGTAAGACATGCAAAGGGCAGGGGGGCAGGATGGGACAGAGGATCAGAAGTTGTTAGCAAAGAGCCCGACAAGGGGCTCGAACCCACAAACCGTGAGCTCATGACCTGAGCCAAAGTCAGATGCTTAACCGCCTGAGCCGCCCAGGCACCCCTGTAGGCTCTTTCCTATTCAACACAGCACTGGAAAGTTCTAGCCAGTGCAATAGGCTAGAGGAGCAAATGACAGGAATGTAGGTCAGAAGTTAAGAAATAAACTGTTCTTTACAGATGACATGATTGTCTACATAGAAAATTACAAGGGCTCTACGACAAACTGCCTTGTTTGTCCTAGAAAAATTATAAGGTGGTTCAGCAAGGTCCTGAGATAGATGATCAACACACAAAAGTCAATTACGCTTTAATATACTAGCATCGGATACATGGACATCAGAATTAAAAATATAACACCACTTACAATTACTCAAAAATAATAAAAGAAACACTTAGGCACAAATCTAACAGAACACGAACAGGACTTGAATGCTAAAAACGAAACACTATACAACACAGATGAAAGAAATAAAGGATTGAAATAAATGGAGAGACGTACTGCATTCGTGGATTGGGAGCCCCAGTTGGGTGGTCATGGAAGTCGATCCAGACCTCAGACCACGTATGAGCATAAACTGGGCGCAGGTTAGAGATCCAGACGTAAAAATGAAATATAAATACTAGAGGACACCTAGGCGCATTGCTCTATAACACAGGTACGGGAAAAACCTTTCTCCTCACTCTTCAAAGTCCAGGCACAGTAAAAGGAAACATTGATTAGTCTGCATGGTAAAACACACAAGCAAAGCCAAGTGACAGATTGGGAGGAAATATCTGCATTGTATCATGAAAAGTCACTGTCCCTACTGTGTAAAGAACTCTTCAAAACCAAAGAAATGAAGGCTAAGAGCTTGTTAGAAAATGTTCAACTGATCTTTGGCAAAGGCACCGAGACCACTCAGCAGGGGAGGGACTGTGTCTTCAACAAACGGTGCTGGGAAACCCAGACATCCACACGCACAAGAATGAAATTAGACCCTTATTTTACACCACACACAAAAATCAATTCAAAGTGGATTAGAGACTTAAACACAAGACCTGAAATCACAAACTCCTAGAAGAAGACAGGAGAAAACTCCCTCATATTGGTCTTAGCTTTTTTTTTTTTTAATTTTTTTTTCAACGTTTATTTATTTTTGGGACAGAGAGAGACAGAGCATGAACAAGGGGAGGGGCAGAGAGAGAGGGAGACACAGAATCGGAAGCAGGCTCCAGGCTCTGAGCCATCAGCCCAGAGCCCGACGCGGGGCTCGAACTCACGCGAGATCACGCGAGATCACGCGAGATCGTGACCTGGCTGAAGTCGGACGCTCAACCGACTGCGCCACCCAGGCGGCCCCCCCCCCTTTTTTTTTTTGATTTGACATCAAAAGCACAGGCAAGAAGAACAAAAATGAACTACTGGGACTACATCAAACTAAAAGGTTTCTGCACAGCAAAGGAAACAACCAACAAAATGAAAAGGCAACCTATGGAATGGAAGAAATCATTTGCAAACTATGTATCTGATAAGGGGTTAATACCCAAAACATATAAGGTACTCCTACAACTCAATAGCAAAAAAACAAAACAAAACAAAACAAAACAAAACAAAAAACAAACAAAAAAGCCAAATAACCTGACCAAAAAATGGGCAAAGGACCTGAACATTTTCCAAAGATGATAAACAGACCTTTTCCATGTGCCAACAGACACATGAAAAGATGCTCATAACCACTCATCATCAGGGAAATGCAAATCAAAACCACAATGAGATACCACCTCACCCCTGTTGGGATGGCTATCATAAAAAAGTCAAAAGATAGCAAGTGCTGGTGAGGATGTGGAGAAAAGGGAATTCTATGCACCGTTGGTGGGAATGTAAATTGGTGCAGCCATTGTGGAAAAAAGTATTTTAATTTTTTCTGAAAAAATTAAAAATAGAATTACCAGTTTTTAAAAAGTAATCTTTGCACCCAACGTGGGGTTCCAACTCAGGACCTTCAAATCAAGAGTCACATGCTCTACGAGCTAAGCCAGCCAGGTACCCCCAGAACTACCAGTTTTAAAATTAGAACCCAGAGCCAACCGACACATGAAAAAATGCTCAACATCACTCATCATCAGGGAAATACAAATCAAAGCCACAATGAGATACCACCTTACACCTGTCAGAATGGCTAACATTCACAACTCAGGCAACAACAGATGTTGGCCAGGATGCGGAGAAAGAAGATCCCTTTTGCATTGTTGGTGCAAGCTGGTGCAGCCACTCTGGAAAGCAGTATGGAGGTTCCTCAAAAAACTAAAAATAGAACTACCCTACAACCCAGCAATTGCACTACTAGGCATTTATCCAAGGGATACAGGTGTGCCGTTTCGAAGGGACACATGCACCCCCATGTTTATAGCAGCACTATTGACAATAGCCAAAGTATGGAAAGAGCCCAAATGTCAATCGATGGATGAATGGATAAAGAAAATGTGGTGTATATATATATACAATGGAGTATTACTCAGCAATCAAAAAGAATGAAATCTTGTCATTTGCAACTACATGGATGGAACTGGAGGGTATTACGCTAAGTGAAATTAATTAGAGAAAAACAAAAATCATATGACTTCACTCATATGAGGACTTTAAGAGACAAAACAGATGACCATAAGGGAAGGGAAATAAAAATAATATAAAAACAGGGAGAGGGACAAAACAGAAGAGACTCCTATATATGGAGAACAAACTGAGGGTTACTGGAGGGGTTGTGGGAGGGGGGAATGGGCTAAATGGGTAAGGGGCACTAAGGAATCTACTCCTGAAATCATTGTTGCACTATATGATAATAATTTGTATGTAAATTTTAAAAAATAAAAAATAAAAATAAAATAAAATAAGGACAAAAAAATAAAAATAAATAAATAAATAAATAAAAATAAAATTAGAACCCAGAAATATCACTTCTGATATAGATTCAAAGGAAATAAGACCACTGTTTTGAGGAGATATCTGCACCCCCCATGTTCACTGCAGCATCATTCACAATAGCCAAGACATGGCAACAACCTAATTGTCCCTTCAGAGATGAATACGAGAACACTCTGCAGCCCTAAAACAGAAGGAAGTCCTGCCATTTGCAAAAACATGGGTAAACCGGGAACATATTATGTTAAGTGAGATAAGCCTGGCATAGGACAGTTGCTGTAGGATCTCACTTATGTGTGGAATCTAACAAGGTCCACATTGTGGTCGCAGAGACCAGAGCCGTGGGCATGGTCCAAGTGCGCGAGGTCTGTTAGAAGATGGGTACGTTCCAGAGACCTAATGTACAGGGTGGGGACTGCGGTTCATAAGAACGTGTACATGAAATTTGCTAAGAGAGATCTCCAGTGTCCCTGCCACACGCGGAGGAGGTGGCTGCGGGAGGGGACCGATATAGCAATTTGCTCGATTGTGACAATCACGTCGCGATGGGACGTGTATCCGAACGTCCTGTGACAGACCTTCAACAGACACGAGTTTCACTCGTCCATCGTGCCGCAGTGGAGCTGCGAGAAAACGGACAAAAGGCACGAAGAGGTTGTTCACAGAAAGAGATACAGAGATGGCTCTTAGATATATGGCAACACGCTCAAAGGCATACATAATCAATGAAATGCAAATCAGAACTTGCCGGGATACTGTTTCTCACCTACAAGACGAGCGAACATTTCTGAGTTCAGCACGGCACACTCTGCCGGGGTCTGCACACGCTGCCCGTGGAAGGTGAGGAAACTGCGTGCCCAACAGCGGGGACCGAGCCCCGCTCTCAGTTACTCTGGGGCTTAGTGATGTCCCCTCTAGAAGCTTACCTTGAAAACCTCTCTCCACAAACACGGAAAACTGGCCCTGTGTTTCTCATTGCAGACAAAGCGGGGCGTGGCATTTTATGTAAGGGACAAGGGAGGAAGGAAGGATTTGTACACAAGTGTACGTATTTGCTTTAAGGAAAGATGATCCAGAGGTTAATGAAAATAAGAATTGAGGTGCGTAGGTGGCAAGGGACTTACAAGAAATGACGCTTCTCTGAGTCTATTTTTCAGATCGCTTTGACTTCCTATTTGTGAAAAAGTACACTAAGAAGGAAGGAAAAGCAAACCCTAACATCAAATACAAACAGACACAAACAAGTTATCCAAAGGGCATTTTCGAGTGAACTTCCAGCATGGTCCCCTCCCCCTGCCCAATGCAAGTCCCCAAGGGCACACATCTGGGGACAGACAGAACCGAGGTCAGGCCTGCGGACCCCAGGCCACTTGGGAGCCACTGCAAAGAACAGGCTTTCAGGGAAACACAGGTTGGGGTCCCCCACCCAGGCCACCCGTCCTAGGAGGAGGCAGAGCCAGGACTGAGACGTCTAAAGCTTCTGAAGATGCCTGCAGACCCTCCTATGGGAGAGGACGCCATACGCAAATGTGTTGGCTTTCCAGAAGTTTCCGCCAGAACCTCAGGTCCTCCTTCGTGTGTGGATGTGTGGGCCCACTGCCCCTCCTGGTGGGGGCAGGGGGCAGTCTGGACCAGAAGTGCTGTCCACTGAGAGAGCCTCCAACCCCCGCCCCCAACCCGTGAAGGTGCAGAAAGAGAAACCACAGCCACTGTGTGGATCTTAGGGGTCAGACCACAAGCCATGACCACAGGAGCTGCCACAGCCCGCCAGCCGGCCCCCAGGTACTCCCGCTGCTCCCGCAAGGCTGCGTCACCTCCTCCTTCTTCTGGTCGGCCTTCTCCTTGTTCCCTTGCACCAGGCGCTGCCGGGCCAGGATGGCCTCCTCGTGGCTGAGTTTCCCCTGCAGCCTGTGGCACTCGCTCGCGGCCAGCTGCTCCTCCCGGCCCTCCGCCTGCACCTTCCTCTGCCACTCGAGGAACTCGGAGAAGTCCCCGGCCCCGTCCACAAGCTTATCCACCCTGGGGAGAGGGGACAAGAGTGGGGGCCTGTGCTGGCCATGGGGGGGTGTGCACGGGTTCCCTGGGGGTGCGGTGGCCTCACAGGCATGGGGAGCCGTTCACCCATCGCGGGCCATAGCACCTGTCCCCCACTCACCGTCCGCCTGTCCCCCACCCACCGTCCGCCTGTCCCCCCCCCACCGTCCGCCTGTCCCCATCCTCTCATCCACCTGGTCAGCCACCCAAACCCCACCCACAGCCCAACTCGTGGGGTAAGCACAGGGGACCGGGGCGCTGGTGGTCAGCGGGGGGCCTTAGGGGGTTCTGAAGAGCAGGTGACCCTGAGAGAAGTGTGGGCTGGGCCAGCTTTCTGCTAAGCCGCCCTCTGCCCAGTTTCCCTCACTGAGCGGGTCATCTTCTTCAGATGCAGCCGTGACCCTAAGGCTGGCCTGCCTGTGGCACCCCCAAAGCACCACAGCCACCAGGCCCCGCCTTCCCCCCCCCCCGCTGGCAACCTCCTCCTCTCCCAGGAGAGCCGTCCCTGCACCCCTTCCTCTGAACAGGGTGAGGAGCCGCCCGCCTACCTCTCCAGCTCTTTCTCCACCTGCCGCTGGTATAGAGATCCTTCCCGCAGGATGGCAGCTGTGTTGAGCTTCACAGGGACGTTGTTGGTCTGCAGGAGACAGGAGGGGCCGGCTGCAGTCTGGTGGCTGGTGGCGGAGAGTCGGGCCAGCAAATGCTCCCCTACTCCCCACACTTGCCCCCCGGCCCCTAGGGTGGGGCCTCCCTCAGGACCTCCAGCTCTGGCCATCTGATCCCCTGGGCACAGACCTGGCCAGGAAGTGAGTGTCCAGGGAGAGGGGACTAGACCAGGCACCCCGTGCCCAACCTGGCCGGTCGGGAACACCCCTCACCTTGTAGAAGGTCAGCTTTGGAGTCTTAAGGATTCGGGGCAGGAGTCGGGGCTGCAGAGTCTTCTGGGAGACCTGCGGGGATCAGGCCCAGCACCTGTGCCCACTGGGTGCCCTTGGATGCACCCTGGGGGAATGGTGGGCCCAGCACCCCTGGGAGGGCCAACGCACTCCCCTGTCCTCACTCCAGCTGCCCACCCGAGTGTTCCCAGCCCACCCCCTGCTCACGGGTCCCACGACAACACTTCTGTCTCCCATGCCCTCCCCGGCCTTTCCTGGGTGCAGGGGCCGGCCAGGCCTGGGGACCACAGGTCCCAGGTGCTTGAACCTCTGGGTTCAGGGCCCGTCCCCCGAGTGGCTCCCTGGCACTGGCTTCCACGACTGGCTTCCTGGCTGCTAGGAAGTTGCTCCTTGCCTGCTGCTGCTCTGGGGTGCTCCCAGGAGGGGCCCCACAGCCCCAGTGTGCGGAGCGGTGGGTAGACGAGCACCCCCTGGAACTCAGCCAGCACACCCCCAGGGCCATGCCCCGCCTGCCCCGACTGCTCGTGGGGGCCAGGGCACCGCTGCCTCGCCCTGCTGCCACCGGCGGTAGGGGGAGCCCACAGTGGGGAGGGCAGGGCAGGCCCACTCCTCTGGACAGAGCGCCCACCACGAACAGGCCTTCCTTGCCCTGCGTCCTTTACTTTTTCTTTATTGACAAACTTACCTTGGCTTTTTTTTTTTTTTTTTTCTCACGGAAACAGTAAGTGCTCAGCATGGAAATGTGGGAACACCCAGAGAGGGATGCGTGGATCGCCCGTGCGGATCTGGAGGTACATCTGCACCTGCCGCCCCGCCCGGGCTTGGGGAGCAGAGACCGGACAGGCTAAAGAAGGGGCTCATCGCGTCACCGCTCAAAGGGCGCAGGGAGGGACGGTTCCACGTGGTGGGAGAGTGCCACCGTGAAGACCGACCCAGGGCGAGGAGGGTGGGTGTTACCTGCGTCGGGGGCTCCCCGCGGGACCTGGGCACCGCGCACCGCATCTCCTCCGTGTTCGCCCTGAGCAGCAGCTCCTGCAAGAGGCAGCACTTGGCTCTGGCCCCACTGGCCACCCCCCGGCGCCCTTGGGCCTCGGGAGGGACGAAGGCACAGACCAGCTTCCCGCTCTTCCTCTGCCCCCCTCCCCCGTCCCCCACCTCCTCACAGAACACCCCCCAGAGGGTCTAGGAAGGCAGGGCTCGTCGTCAGTGGGTCCTCACCTCTGCCTTCCAGCGATTGTGTCTCTTGGTCGTCTCCAGCAGCTGCTGCTCCTTGGGCGGCTGGTAGGTGCTCCTGGGGACCTGGTGCGGTGGCCGGAGGAAAGCCTGCGGTCAGCGGCTATGGTGTCCGGGGTGTGTAGAAGGGCCAGGCTGGTGGCCAGTGGGATATGGGTGAAGAGAGGGCGGTGCCGGGGACAGGAGGGTGGACCGTGGTGCCCGTGCCAGCAGAAGCAGGGCTGGGAGGGGGGCTGCTGGGCTCTGAGTGGGATCCCCTGGGTGCTGGTGGCCATCCGGGGGAGGGAAAGGCAGGACGGCGGGCCAGCAGCAAGAAGGGAGGTGGCCAGGCATGGGGTCAGGTCCAGTGGACACTGGGGGAACGGGCAGAGGACCACTGAGTGGGCAGGGGATGGAAGGGGAGGTGTGGAGGGGAAAGTGAGTCCAGGAAGGTGTCATGGGCCCCAGAAAATGAGGGTCAGGGAGGGGGCGGGGCCATAGCATGGAAACTGCAGAGACCAGGGTGGCCTGAGAGCCATCCACAAGGTCCCATCACAGGGACCCTCGCCAGCCTGGAGGGAGCAGTGTCCATGCGGGTGGGGCAGGGACAGCCTGGAAGCCCCTGAGCTCCAGACCCTAACTCATTGCCCTCTGCCCTGTGTGCCTAAGGAGCATTGGAATACTCGAGGGACCTCTCTGGGCAGAGAGGTTGCCATGAGACCTGAGGTTGGTGGGGGTGGGCTGGGACCCCCGGCACCCCAACCCCCTTCCATGTGGTCTTTAATTCTGTGAGGAAACCAGATTGGGTCTGGGAAACTGACCCCACCACAAGTGTGTGGGGTAGAGACTTGGATCAGTCAGAACACAGCATCCCCAATCATGGTGATCAGCTCGAGGGGAGGCGTGCGGCCTGAGCTGGCCTGAGCTGGTCTAATCGTACTCTTACAGAATTCTTGGCCCTAGATGTCCTCTCATGCCCTGGATGGTTTACAGTACGGGGAAGGCCTGGGTGGGTCGCTACAATGAAGGAAGTTTGCCCAAAGATAAAGGTGACCCACAGAAGCACAGCTAGAACTCTGATCAAACTCTGCCTGAGGCCTAACCTACTCAGCCAAGAGTCAGCCCATCCTCTGTGGTCTGCACCAGCTTGAGCTGCCTTTTTCTGTTACCTACAATACAAAGCATCCTGACTGGCAGAAGTCAGCAAAGTGGGGAGAGAGAGAGGGAGAAGGAGAGGAAGAGGCTCTAGGCAGATGGGACAGGCGTGCAAAGGCCCTGGGGTGGGGACAGGTCCACATGATGGGGCCACACAGACAGACATTATCACCTGCCCGTGACCTGAGTAGTACTGAAGAGCATACTGTGAGCTACACATGTGCTATTTAATAGAGAGGGAGACCTATGTCACATCAGGTTACAAGCATGGTCTAGATGCCACGTCCGGACAGGTTTGAGCCCTGTGGCCCCACAGCCTCACTTCATCTCTGCTGACCAGACCTTAGGATGTGGAGCACAGGAACTCACTGGGCAGGCCCCAGGTCAGCTGGGCTTCCCCCACAGAGACGTGGGGTCACCAAATGCTCCTGGTCTGGTCCAGTGCACCTGGGAAGAGCCCAGCCTGCCCCTGGCTCACAGAGTCCACTCTCCCAGCTTGGATGGGCCGTGCTCACCGCAAATGTCTGCACTTACTGGTTTGGATTTGGCCACGACAGGGACTGGCTCAGGCACTGGAATGGAGCGGGGTCTGGGGACAGTCAGGTTGAACTCCTTGGGCTCTGTGACCTTGGCCTTGGTCTTGGAAACAACGGACCGATTGGCCAACACTTCCTCTAGCTGGTTGATCAGCTTCTGGACTTCCGGCTGCCATCTTGAAGGCAAAGGCAAGAGCAGCCACTTAGGGCCACTTCCTAAGGCCAACCAGGGCACCGCCCTCAGGAGAAGCAGGCCAACTAGGGCATGGCCTTCGGGAGAAGGTCGACGAGGGCACGGCCCTGGGGAACCAAAGGACCCAAGACACCCTGGGTCCACCTAGGGTGCGGGCTGATAATGGAAGCAACAACCACTCCACTGAGGGCCAGCTATGCCCCGGGCACTGTACCAGCTGCGCCCTGAGTCACGCAGACAGGTGAGAGAACAAGGCCAGCAGCACTGTGGTCACAAGCCATGCTGCTACGTGGGGAGTTGGGAGGACAGGGACAGAGAGGCCCCAGCGGCAGGAATCCAGGGGCCTGAGGAGCAGCAGCGGGAGGGACACAGAGCTAATCTGGGCCCGAGCGGAAGGCCCAGTGCAAGGAGGCCCAGAGAAGCTGGAGATGTCTGGAATGTTCCTGGAGCTGTGCTGCTGGTGACAGGTGGGGAAGGGGCTACGGGAGCAGGATGGAGCCTTGGGGTGCCGGTGCCCTGGAGCAGGGGTCTGTGCCCTACACCGCAGGCGGGCCCAGTTCCCATCAGCAGCCTGGCCGGTGGGGTTCCCCTGAGGACAGACAGCATGGTTTGTATAGCTCCTGGCCCAGCTCGAGGGCCACGGCCATCAGAGGAAGGAAGGGCACTTCTGAGGGGGGTGAGGTTTCCGGAGGGGCAGGGCGGGTCTGGGATGGGGCTGCATATGGCAGTGCTGAGGTGGGTGGCGGGCACCCTGGACCAAGGCTGACCCCACAGGTGGCTCTCTGGGCCCCGAGGGCCCGGGCCCTAGTGGCAGTCCTGTGGATGGGCAGTGAATCCAGCCTGGCTTGGACTGAGGGCTTTCTTCCAGGGAAACGGCAGCTCCAGGGCCACCCCTCCACCTCAGGGCCATGGTTTTCCCTCCCACAGAAGGGCTCCTCCCCCCGGGCCTCTGGCTCTCCAGCACACTGCTGGTACCTAAAGCGGTCTGCTTGTGCCCAAACAGTCTGTCTGTCCCCAGGAAAACCAGGCGGCTCCCCCAGCCCTATCAGAAGGGAAACACCGCAGGGCCAGCTTCACCCTGACCCCAGTAGCCTCTCGTGGAGGCCAAGGGCAGGGCCAGGCCACAGTGCTGGTCCTTCTGCCCGTGGGTCCCGGCCTGCACGGGTGAAGCCGGGATTTGGCCGAGCTTGTTATGGGGCGCAGGGACAAGAGGGTGGCTTCGGGGAGTGGAGTGCAGGGAGGCTCCGGCCTGTCCCACCTCATCAGGGGGCCGATCCAGTTCTCTCGCACATAGGCTGTCTCGTAGATGAGGCTCCACTCATCTGTGATCCATGAGCACAGGTTTAAGGGGTTGAAGAAGAACCCCAGGAACTGAGGGAGAAGTAGGAACCATTGAGGGGGGGCCTCGGCACCAGAACCCCTCCCCAACCTGGTGAAGCCCACAGTGCCCCTCACAGGAAAGCCAGTGCCCAGGGGGCAGGGGGCAAGGAAACCACTGTCCACGCCAGGGCAGCAGGCCCCTCGGGAAAGACCCTCCCTCCCCGAGCCCTGCTCGCCTGCCCCCATGCTGGGCTGGGGTGCCTGTGCTGGGGCGCTGCCCCTGGCCACGCTGGCTTCTGCTCACGGCCTCTGGGCGTTCAGGGCAGCCCACTCCAGTCCTGGGGCGTGTCCCTGCCCAGCAGGGCACGTCCCTGCTGGTGGGGACCCTGTGCCTGAGCTACCTGCCCAGGACCTGGAAGGCCCACACCCCACTTCTGGAGAGTTCTTGGTGGGGACAGATGGATAGCGGCCTGCATCCCCTCTGGGCTCCGGAATTCCAGGAATAGAGGTGCACTTTGCCCCTGCTTGCCCAGAACAGTGCCAGTGGGTGGGCCCCAGGAGTGACCTGCCCACCCGGCCCCTGGAAGGGACTGAGGAGGTTCTCCCTGGGACGGCCCAGACCCCGCCACAGCAGGAACTTCTAGCGGCCGAGGGCCCTGCAGGCTGTTTTCCAGTCCTGGCCCTCAAGTCTAACAGATCTGGTTCTAGAAGACAGTCCAGTTTAGCTTCTCATGGAGGCTGGCTGCCTGGGGGAGAGGGAGGTGTGCTTCTGCAGAGGGGGCTGGCTGTGGCCCCAGGACGTGGCTGTCAGCACAGCTGAGGTGAAGCTCAGCACCCCCCCCCCCCCGCCCCAGCCCTCCTCCGAGGGGCAGCCACGCCCGGGGCCTGCTGGGGGACTGTTCTGCAGGAGGGCATCCACCCAGACGAAACCACACCCGGGCTTGCAGGGCCTTGTCTAGTCAAGGGGACCACTACAGACCATTCAAACCAGCCTCCCAGAAAACCAGGGAGGCCACACGCTGGAGCCCCCCAGGAGAGCTTTGTGTGGACACAGGAAACATGATGCCTCCATCTGGGTCCCTAAAAGCACACCCTTGAGCTGTGAGCCTTGGGAACAGGGAGTTTACTGGGGAGGGAGGGAGTCAGCAGGTGGGTTCCCGCTGTGGGCCTTTGGGCTCCACCCCAGCACCGCCCGTGGATTTGGGCCCAACGCCTGCCAAGGGCTGGGAGGGCCTTACTCCCGGGGCTTCCGGGTCTGGAGTCGGTGTTTGCTGCATGCTGTGCGTGGTGGGCATGATGCCCGGGCCCTTGCAGCTGCTGTGAATGGAGCGGCTGAGCAGTGGGGGCACCAGGCACAAGGACAGGACCCCGGCTGCTGTCACTGGCCTCCCCAGGGTGGCCACTGCCCGCTGCCCAGCTGCCAGCCGCCCAGCCACGGCCTGTCTCCTGCCCTCCCCATTGCATGGCTGTCTCTCAGCCTTTACCCTTTCCTGCCGGAAGGGGCAGTCGGTGCCCCGCTATCCGGCCTTGGGGTCTCTGCTCCTCTTGCTCCTGGCCAGTGCTCCTTGCTGCTCCATCCCCCCGCCCACTCAGCATCTCAGCTGGTGTGCTGCCCCCACCCAGGGATGGCCTGCCCACACCCCTGGAGAGAGCTCTCCACAGTGAGGCCCCCATTCTCACCAGGTGTGGGGGCGGGGTCCTGGGGTGAGTTCTCCGGCCCTCTGGAGGACTCCAGCGTGTGAGCGGGGGTCATTGGAGCCAGAGGATTGCTACTGCCCCTGGAGGGACAGGCCAGCTGCAGCCACATCCAGCACTGTGTCTGGCAGAGACCACGGCCAAGGCTGCCCGAGAACCAGCCTGGGCACGCTGAGCTCACTACCACCTCGTCACTGCTGACCACGGTGGGCTGTGGGGGGCTTCCCCAGGGAGGCCCCAGGGCTGCCATCCTGTCCCTAACAGCTTGCACCCTGTCTTCAAGGCCCAGGCTGACCTCTCCTCTAGAGGCTGGAGGTGGGTGGCCCCAATGGGACGGGGCGGGGGGGGGGGGGCGGGGAGGGCGTGGGCAGGGGAGAGAAGGCCCTGCAGAGGGTGCCGCCCCACCCCTGCAGCTCCCCAGCTCCTGTCGGAGTTTGTGGGGGCAGTTTCCATGAATCTCTTCCAGAAAATCTCCAGGGAGGTAACACCCAGCCACCTGCACTGGGGGCCCTAGGCTCGCCGTGTGTGGCCAGCTCTCTGTGTACCTGTCCTGGGTCTGCGTTGTGGGGCAGCCCCAGGAGGGTCCTGTGCCGCCCCCTCTGGGTTCTTCAGGCCAAGGTTGGTCTAGGGCCAGCTCCTGCACTGCGGGACCCAGTGCAAGATGACACATAGACCCCCTTGTTCAACAATCACCAAGAATCTGAGGCCTCTGAGAGCAGAGCGTGAACTGAGCATCGGCAGCTCAGCCTGGGGAGCCGGCCCTGGGCACCTCCAGACACCTCTCAGAAAATGCCTACAATTTGTCTTTTTCTTAGAAAGATGAAGACTGTGTTTAAGATAACTATGCAAATGTTTATCCCCGTGAATTGCTTGTTTACATGTAGGTAGGAAATCCCATCATTAAACACAAATCACGGCCTTGGGCCAGCACTTTCTCTTTCCCTTGTTAGGTGGCCAAGGTACCTGTGAGTCTCCAGTGCCACATCTCTGGGGGGTGGGGCCCCTGGGGGGTCCCTCCCCCCCCCCCCCCCCCCCCCCCGCCACTCCCACCGAACTGTCACCGCAGAGCCTGCTGTTTCTTCTGGGAGAGGCCCCAGGGCACTCCCCGGGCCTGTGATATCCCCGCTCTTCTCCAGGAGTCGCTGTCCTGGTCTGGTGACGGCCCTCCAAGCCCAGTAAGAAGGAGCAAGCCAGTGGTTAAAAGCCTGGTCCAAGAAAGGGCTCTGCTACTCACTTGCTGAGTGGTATTGGGTGAGTCACCCAACCTCTCTGTGCCTCAGTTCCCTCAGCTGTGGGATGGATGCCTTGTAGGACGACCTCCCTGGGTCATTGTGAGGATGGAACAAGAAATGCTCACGGACGAAGCCTGGCCCGCAGCAAGTGCTCCACGGGGGCTGGCCACTGAAGAACGGTGGGCCTCAGGCTCGGGCCACAGGAGGGGCCACGGCAGGGCAGAAGATTGGTCCGCAGCCTCCCCCGATGGACGCCAATCCTCAGGGTCCACTCGGACCCACCCCCTTGCCTGCCCCTCAGCCCCCAGGCGGCACAGCCTCTCTTGGAGGGAGGAGCTTGGTCACAGAGAGAAGGGAAGGCTCCAGAGGCCCAGACTCACCACCCACCAGGACCCTGAGGGATGGGAGTCGAATCCCCCAGGGACAAAACGAGGGTGTCTGCAGAAATGAGAGGGCACCTAAACCCAGCAGAGTCTCTTCCATTACAACGAGCCAGAGAGTGCGAGGTCGGCGCTGGCTGGGACGCCTTTGCCCTTGGGTTTAGGAAGAAACCGCAGAGCTCACCTTGCGCATCTTGTCCACGGGCTGGGACCTGACGATGTCACAGAAGAGCTGAAAGCCGAGTTCCTCCAGCTGGAACGTGGCCAGGTAGCAGATCACTGGGGAAACGGGGCCGGTGAGTGGGGCCGCCCCTGGGGTGTCCTCCCCTGCGCCCCCTTGCGTTCCGTCTTGGGGAATCAGCCGGAGGCCTGACCGGTGCCCGGCAGGTGCGAGGGAGCCGGAGCCGAAGGCCCACCACCAGCCGGGCAGGTGACCACGGGCAGGAGCTCCACCTGACGCCGTGTGAAAACGACAAAAATGCTGCGAGAGTTCGGACGACGGCTCACATGGGTGAGCGTTTGGGGAGCGTCTGTCAAAACACTTCCACACACGCTCACTGACTTGGCATGTTCTCAGAAATTCTAAAAGTTCCCTGGGTAAAAGGAAAATCACTTTGGATTTCAGTTTGTTAGTTTTGAGAGATGGAGTAGCCTTAAGCCAAGCAGGACGTGAACACCCGGGCAGGTGAGGGTCCCCGGGCAGGGGGCTGTTCATTACCCTGGCTGCTGGGCAGGCCAGTGATGTGCTGCTGGCTGTGACACCTGAGCTGAGCGTCGGGGGCACAGGCAGAGCTCAGGGGCCAGCTCCCGACCTGGCATCGGGTCACTAAGTTCAGCTTCCCAGCACCCTGCTGTCCCCAAGCCTTCTCCTTCTGAACAGGGGCTCTGAGGCCTAGTGCAGGGTCTGGGGGCTGAACCAACACCCCTACCCGGAGGCACTGACCACTCTGCCTGCAATGTTCACCCCACGCCACGGAAGCAGGTGGCCCTCCGGGGCCTGCAGGAGACCAGGCAGAGACAATTCATATTTAATCCCCTGCTGGACAGTCCAGACTGAGGCCACAAGGCTGGCCCTGCCCTATGTCCTCGGGGCTGAGGGGGTCAGGAACTTGGCCAATGATAAAGGCTTGTCATTTCACCCAGGCTGGCCTTTTGGGGGCACTGTCTCTGAAGCAGGCTGTGCCTCCCTCAGGGACCCGAGGCTCTGGACCCCAGCCTGGCTTTTAGTGAGCCCGGAGTCTGTTTGTACGTCTGTAAGGCAGACCCGGTCCAGTCACTCAAGGCAGCCGTGAGGACCCAACGAGTGAGGGGCAGGGAGAGAGCCCGGAAAGCAGCATGCTGCAGAAGCAGGGGCTGGCGTCCAGCACGAGCCTGAGGAGCTCCTGTCTGCGGCCGCCTCCCCAGGTCGTCACCAGTGTTGTCTGTGCCTTGTGCAGGGGGCAAGGGCAGCGGGCCTGGCCCACAGGGACACCTACCCTCAAAGAGGCTGTAGTCGGCCCGTGGGCAGAGACAGCCGGCCCGCACGTAGAAGGCGTCCACCACCACGGCCAGCAGCTTCTGGTACTCGAGGCACCCAGACAGCACCTCCAGAATGAACGCCTGCTTCTGGGGGCTCAGGGTCTAGGAAAGAAACAGCCCGGGGGGGGGGAGGGGGCCGTGGGCCAGGGCCAGGCACCCGGTCCGTGCTGGGGAAGCGTTCTCTCAGTGCACCCCTCCCCAAGCTGTTGGCAGAGTCCACGGCAGTCCGGCGCCCCGACCCTCTGACCCAGCGGGTCCGCCCCAGGATGTGGTCCCTCGGGTGCTCCTGGCTAGTGACCACAGGCTGGGGGCAGGGACAGAAATAAACAGGCATGAAAAACGTGTGATTTCACTTGTATGAGGCCCCAGGACCGAGAGAGGATGGTGGGAGCCGGGGGCCGGAGTGGGGGTGGGCAGTTAGGGTTTCACGGGAACGGTTTCTGTTGTGGAGGATGAGAAAGTTCTGGGAAGGAGGGTGGGGACGGCTGCACAACAGTGTGAATGTTCTTAATGCCAAAGAGCCGTGCACTTAACAGTGGCTAAGATGGTAAATGTTATGTCATGTGTGTTTTACCACAATGAGACAAAAAAAGAGCACGTTCCTATAAAGGTTTTCAAGTGAATTATTAAAAAAAATAATCCCCCCCCCCCCACAAAAAAAAGTGGTAAGGAAAACCTGCAAAGTCAGACAGGAATTACCAGTAACTGGAGGGACTGTGTTCTCTCCACGGGCTTCTGCTGGGGACACTGACTTTTCCCCACTTACCCCTTGGACAACTGTGTTGTCACACGTTACTTATTCAAAAAAGTGATTAAGCTTTTGAAAACAAGAAGACTGAAAAAGAACATCTAGTGTTGCCAGCACAGCCACGAGAGGGGCTGGTGGGGACCCGTGCCGTTGGGTCTTTCCTGAAAGCAATTTGGAAATGTGTTTCAAGTACCTTGTGCTTCCCGTACCCTTTAATCCAGTAATTACTTCTGGGAATGTGAGGAAACCGTCCAAAATACAGGAAACAGCCGCATACAACAAGTTCAGGGCATTTAAGAAGCAAAATTTTCTTAATGTTTTTTTTTTTTTTTTTTTTTTTTCCATATCGTCTGCCTTGCTTTTAATCAGCTTGGAATGTTGGCAGTTTCTGGCTGTGTCTGGCTGGCCGCAGGAGTCAGTCCTGCAGAAACCGAGAAGTGCCCCGAGTGTCTTTGAGTGTCACCCCTGTGCGGTCCTCTACACCCAAAGACAAGAGGTTTTCCCTCACTGTTCAGTATACACTCCAAGCTTTTCAACTTCAGGGGGAAAAAAATCATTGTATGTTTTCCTGTATTGTACATTTAATATTTTTTATTTTAATTTTTATTTTAGAGAGACAGTGAGCATGAGCAGAGAGAGGGGCAAAGGAGAGAGAGAGAGGGAGGGAGAGGGAGGGGGAGAGAGAGAAAGAGAGAGAGAGAGAGAGAGAAAGAGAGAGAGAGAGAGAATCCCAAGCAGGATCCATGACCATGGTGTGTTGTAAATTTTAGACTATTTCATATACATCACATTAAAACTGCCATATCACATTTAGTGTATAGATTTTGCAAATAGGATACTGTATGTAACCCCTAACTGTATCTGCAGTGTATATGTAATGTATTTATGCCCAACAAATGTTTTAATTCTTTCTGAAAAGGAAAAGAAAGAAGTTCAGGGTGAAGGAAAATGGTCAGGACCTAAGTGTCAGTGGTGGGGAGTCGCTAGGTCAGACGCTCTCTCCCGTCACAGGGAGCGAGGCAGCCATTGAACTCAGTCCTGCAAGGTCTCCAGGAGGGGACAAGACGGTTAATGCAGCGTGAAACCAGAATGCAGACCTCGACCCAAACAGATGCAAAACACTGCAAAACATACTCACCAGTAGTGTCATTAAAACAAAAAAAAATTTTTTTTGCCCATCTATTAGATAAATTTTGGAACTCATTGTTTTATTTTGGATGTTTTATTATCAGTGAAGTTTTCATATGTTTACTGGACATTTGTATTTCTTTTTTTTTTTAACGTTTATTTTTAAGAGAGAGAGAGAGAGAGAGACAGAGTGTGAGTGGGGAGGGGCAGAGAGGGTGGGGACAGAGGCTCTGACGTGGGCTCTGTGCTGACAGCAGAGTCTGATGGGCTCAAACTCACAAACCGAAAGATCAGGACCTGAGTGGAAGTCAGATGCTCAGCCCTCTGAGCCACCCAGGTGCCCCCCTCTTGTTTTCATGCGAAGAGAACGACCTGAGGGGTCCTGGATGAGCCACAGGGCCTCGGAGAGCCTCTGTCTCCACACCTGCGAGTGTGGATGTTGTCTTGGCAGACCGTGTCATTCCCACGTCCTTCCCAAGGTGGCCCTGAGCCACAGAGGCTGGAAGCCTGAAACCGTGTTCTTCAGTGGGCTATGCCCCCGTGGCTCTGGCACAGTTTGGTTGTGCTAATGAGATGCCCTTACAGGAGAGACAGGAGGTCAAGGGAGATGACGTCCCCCCCCCCCCCCCCCCGCGCCCCCCACAGAGGTGACCACTGTGCAGCAGGGGCTGCCCTGGACTTGGGTTCTGAAACCCTCCCCGTGGCTTGGAGCACAGCCTGGCTTCACTAGATCCCTTGCTGCTTCCGGTGCCGGGACTGGGCTCCAGCAATATTCGGATGCCAATACTCCCCTGCTGACACCTCCTCTCCTCACGTGGGAGGGTCTCCGGCCTCCAGCCCAGTCTCTTCAAGGTCTGCGCTCACCCCGGGGGGCACCGCAACCAGCATCTAGGCTGAAAACGTGCCCTTCCAACCGTGGGTCCCCGGCCCGCCCTCCCCGGACTCCAGAAAGTTCTGTCTGCTCCTGTACCCTCCCCCGACTCGGGTGTCTGGCCTCTGGGCTTTGCCCCAACTCCCTGGCCTCCCCATCTCAGCACAACCCCAGAAAGTCTTTGTTGCCTCCCTCTCCCTCTGCCTCATGGCTGGGCCGGGGGAACTCTGCACTCTGGCTTCTCCTCGCGACCTTCCTCTGTTTCCAGCCTGGCCACCAAGTAGTTCTTTTAAAATGGGGATCGGATCATGTCTGTCCTCCTTCAGAGCCTGTCAGAAGAGGTCCTTACAATGGCCAGTGAGGCTCTGTGTGGACTGGTCTGGCTCCCTCGGGGTCCTTACCTAACCCTGTCTCCGCTCCAGCCACACTGGCCTCCCTCTGCCTCTCCAGCTTGTAGGATGTCCCCTCACGGCCTCCGTGCTAGCTGTTCCCTCCGTTTGCAACACTCTTCCCTGTACACTTGCTCCTTCACTCCCACCAGGTCTTTGCTCAGACGCTACCTGACCCAGGAGGCGTCCCTGACCACCCCCCCAGGTCAGACGCTGCCTAGTGCTCTAGCGGAGCTGCACACGCAGGCAGCTGATTCCCTTCCCTGCTACAATGTTACGGTGGTGCTCCAGACAGGGAACAGAATGTCCTGCCTTCCTGGGCAGTTGTGGGGACCCAGGGACATCCCCCCAGTGCAGGCGAGGCACAGAGCAGCACCTCCTTCCTGGGTCAGCTCTGGTCTCACGGTCCTCTGACCCCCGGGCTGTGCGCACAGCGGGCGCGTTCTGTCAGAGGAAGGCCGGGCGTCCGCGCCCGTGCGGGCAGGGCAGAAAGCAATGAGTCAGCAAACCTGGAGCTGAGGCTGCATGAGTTTGCAGGACGCCTGCTGACAGGCTCTCGCACTTCTGAGGCTCAGACAACAGTGACTCCGCTGCTCATTAATTACGTCTGCGTTTGGGAAGTGTGAGTCTGTATTAACAAGGTCAGAGCCCGGAGCCTGCGGCTCTAAGCCCTGATGCCATCTATCCCCGGGCACGGAGGTCAGGCGGGGCTGCATGGGGCCACGGGGTCCCGGAGGACACAGAGCTAAGCAGTAAACGACACCCTGGCCCGTGGGCCAGGCCGGGCCCAGGGCCAGGTCTTTGCCACCAGGGAAGGTCAACCCAGCTGGTCATAGTGGGGAGACTGAGGCCTGGGGCAGTGACCAAGTCCTTCTGGCCAGGCCAGCAGAGGGCTGCTGGGGCTGGGCTGGCCAGGCTGTCTCCAGGAGGAGGTAGGGAGAGAGCTGAATTGCACCGAGGGGGCCCCGGTACCAGAGCTGACCCTTAATTCCAAACCCACCTCAGCCACAGACCACAGGGGGCTGTGGCCGCCCAAGGGCCTCTGAGTGTGGATACCGTTTTGGGCCTTGGTCAAGTTCAGGACTCTGGAGTCCACAGCCCCTGGCCAGCCCCCAGGGAGGGCAGCAAGGCCCTGGATAACAGTTTCGCGGGTAGTCTGGGAGGTGGCCGGGCCTGCGAGCCTGCCGACTTTCCACCATCACTGGCTGCCTCTGGCCGGAGCCCCCAGACCCAGTTTGCCAGAGTTAGGGCAGAGCTAGACTGGGGCCCGGGGCAGGAAAGGGGCCTGGTTGTGGATTTAATCA